AAACAACAACAACAACAAAAAAACTAAAAGCAACAACAACAAACAAACAAACAAACAACAACAACAAACAAACAAACAAACAACAACAACAACAAACAAACAAACAACAATAACAACAAACACACAAACAAACAACAATAATAACAAACACACAAACAAACAACAACAAGAAACCATCTGATTTACCCACTGACCTAAAAATATAACCTCATCCTCCCCTTCCTCCTTCTCCTCCTACCGATCGTGACAGACTATCAGAAGGTAACCGCTGCTCCTCAAGGATAGACACACTTTGGAAGTATAACTCACTCTTTTTAAAAGAGTCAAAACTCACCGTCTCAATGTAGTATACTCAGAATATGAAGCAGCGGTTCTAGAAAATGTACTGTCTATTAATCTTTCTTTGACTTAAAGAAGGAAAGAAAAGGTAACCAAAACTTACTCTCAAATGTACACAGTGTAGACAATTAGGTAATATTTTTTAGCGAAATCTTTCTGTGTTCGGACAAGAATATTGTATGTTTTTTCCCCCTTATCAGAGCACTAAACACTTACGTGCTGAATGGAAGGTTACAAAACAGCAGACAACTGCTAAAACCAGCGAAGGTAACGACGGCAACATGACGAGACAACGATGACGACAGCGGTGAGGACTGAGAGAATGTCACTGAGGATGCCAAGGCGGTAGACTACCACCCTCTGCTGCAGCTGCAGCAACAACAAACACCAACAGTATCAACAACAACAACGCCTGCTGTGGTTGAGATGAGAAGTCGTAGAGTCAAAGAGAGGACCAAGGTTATGTTATTTGCTGCACTGCACTTTTATATGAGTAGGCCTTATCTCTTGTTGGTCAAAGATTTGGACATCTGAAATAAATAAATTTGAAGACTCCGGAGATATCTCGTGGTTGCACAGCTTTAAAGAAATAAAGTATGACCTTTGTTTCTTAGATACGTAATATGATACGGTTAATTGCGCCTTATATCGACAAGAATGGAGACGTCTGTCTCAGTCACAATCACCTTTCCTGTCGTAATAAAAAAAAAAACAACCCAAAAAACTTCGGTCCCAAAACAAAATGATCTGCGTTGTCATGCAATATGTAGATAAAAGGAAGACGGTTATTCGGATAAATCGTGATCTGATTGGGGAGCGATGAGGGTGGGGGTGGGTGTGGACGGTGTTGCTCTTCAAAGACGGATTTTATTATGGGCCATTGATATCTCACCACTCCACCCAGACATGTATAGCTTTCGTATCTTTTGTTTGGTAGAAAGAAAGGACCAAAACAACACCAGAGCACCCACCAAATACTCGTAAATTTCTTTACAAAACAGAGAAGCCGTATTGCGATCTCATCACAACAAAGTAGCCGTATTTAATTACAAGATGAAGTAATATCTTTGCTAAATAAAGTTGCCGTATTTCTTTATAAAACAAAGTAGCCGTATTTAATGACAAGATGAAGTAATAATATCTTTACAAAACACAATAGCCGTATTTCTTTACAAAACAAAGAAGCCGTATTACCGAGGGGAATACAACGTCTCGTCAAAAAGACTGAAATACTCAAAATATATTTTTCCCGCTCTGGGATCGAACTCAGGTCTTCTGCCTGCAACAACGAAGCAACGAAAAGGTACACAACAAACAGCGGTGAGGCCTATGGCTGGGAAGTAGAACTAGATTTAAGGTGGGTGGATTGAGAAGGGGGCTATAATAGATAGGGCATCGAAGATTTACAATAACAGGAAGGGGCTGTTATGTCTGTAGTTGCTAGCGAATGGCCACTGATTTAAGTCTCAGTTGATGCAGCTAGTGATGATGATGATGATGATGATGATGATGATGATGATGATGATGATGATGATGATGATGATGATGATGATGCACCTGATTGTAGATCTACCCACTTCCAACCCCCTTTTTGCGCCAGTTCTTCATGAGCTTTCAACACTATGTGTGACGTATATTCACCCTCAATCAGGACCATGGCAAAGCCAATCCCAATATCTTGTTAGCTTTCCTGTTTCTGAGCTTCAGATAATTATCGTACTATTATGAAACATAATTAGTGAACGCTTTGTCTGTCGTAAGAAGTGTGTCTTTATATTTGCTAGTCTATGTAATTGTGTGCGAGTGCTTGTGTGTGTGTGTATGTGTGTGCCTGTGTGTGAGTGTGTTTGTGTGTGTCCTTGTGTGTGTGTGTATACGTGTACTTGTGTAAGTGTACGTGTGCTTGTGTGAGTGTGTGTGTGTGTGTGTGTGTATGTATGAGTGTGTGTGTGTGTGTGTATGTGTGTTATTTGTACATGTGCTTGTGTTTGTTTGTGTGTATGTGTGTTTGTGTGTGCGTGCATGTTTGCGCGCATGCATGCGTGCGTGTTTGTTAGCCACTTATTATGTTTAAATTATCCGTCATAAAACTTTTATTTCGTCTAAAAAACTGTTTCAGATCATTGATGTCTCAATCAGGTTAGAAATGCCCCTCCCCATGCCGGCATCCAGTTTTTTTTTGGTGTGTCAGCTCTGGCGGTCGTGACATCACCCTCAAGGGACCGTTCATCAATGGCGTCAGCTAAAATTTAGCCAAAATTGACCACCACCCCACACCCCCTTGTTATCTTCTGTCTTTTCCAGGACCACTCCTCACCCCAATTTGACGTCAACCAAAATATAGGTAGTTTTAACCTGTACAGGATGCATGTTATTTACACCTTTGATCTTTATTTCATTTTTTTTTATAATAGAGGGTTTTGCGGCGCTCGCAACTGCATATAAGGTCATATGAACACCAAGGGGTGGGTGTCAACAGAGATGTCTTTACAGGGAATCAGACTTAGACTGCTCACCTCTCTAACTTCAACAGCACAAGGTCTGCTTCGACTATCAAGGCACCCAAAAATATCAGGTCACAATGGAGTGACAAACATATAAAAGAAGTAGAAGAAAATGACAATAGTAAGGATCAGGAAAGAAAAAGCAGCAGTTCCTTGTTGTAGATCAGGCACAGTTATGAGCGTGACATGAGTCAGCCCATTTACAATTTCTACTATGCTTGAACGAGAAATGTCCCCCTTTTGGGAATGGTCTGGAGACACTTCAGTCAGTGGCTCTGCCCCAGGGGGTGATCTTTATTTCAAATTTTTTAAAAAGACAACTAATGAAAACAACAAAGAAATACACGAACTGTCAAATTATTTGAGGAGATAACCAATAATTTTAGTTTTTAGGAAAAAACAAGAAAATGTATGTGGTCTATAATATTTTTTTCTTCTTTTCTTT